ATCACAGGGGGGGACACTGAGGCAGGCCCAGGGGCGGTGGGACCATAGCTGTCCAGAGACCCACTGGGCGGCCTCAAGCTGCCTGGAGGCGCGTGGGGGAGCAGAGAGCCCAGCGGGAGGAGCCGGCCTGCCGGGGCCCCAGGCCTTCCCGCTCCTGGGCCTCACCCCCAGAGCTCTGCCCCCCTCCCCTGCAGTCCCTCCCCACAGACCCTCTCCAGGGGCCCCAGGCACCCCTGCTCTGCAAGCCCCAGCTCAACCCTGCGCCTCCCCCAACCGCCGTCCCCCTCCCCCCGCTCCCAGGGTGTGTGTATGTCGGGGGGGGGGGGGCAGGCATCTGGGCCTGTCCCTTCTCCTCTCATCCCTCTGGGCCTCCTTCCAGCACCTCACCTGTGTGAGCATGCCACCTGCAGCCAGCTCCACCCGGTGGGGCGGGGGCCGGGACCTCTGCCCGTCTCCCCAAGGCAGTCCCTCCTGCCTCAGCACCCGGGCTCTGCGGAGTCTGGGGTCTCCTGTGCTTTAGTTCTCCCCACTCCCTGGCCACACACCCCTGCTCAGCTCTCAGACCCCCTTCCCCAGGTGGTGGGGGGTGAGGGGCACCCAGCAGGGTATCTGCCCGGCCCCTGAGGCTGCTGTCACCCGACAGGGTTGCCGGACCCAGCCCAGCCAGGAGGGAGAGGGCACCCTCAGCGAGGTGCTGCTGGGGAGGCAGCTGGAACAGCGCCAGGAGAGCGGGGTGGGTCCCAGCAGCTGCCGCGGTGCCCACGCCCCCTGCCTAGGGCACCTCGAGCTCCTGTGCCCCACCTGCCACCCACCTGCCCTGCCCCTCGCTGGCTCAGAGCTCTGCTCCCCACCACAGCTGCCCCTGCCCCTCCCCACCACAGTCAGCCCCCGGGAAAGTGCCAGGCCCGCAGACCCCTCCCCAGCAGCCAGGGCCAGGACCCTGCATGGCACAACCGGAGAGGGGCACCGGATGGCGGGGTGCAGCGCTGCTCCCCGAGAGGGCCTGCCCCCCCCTCCGCTCCGCTCTGCGCGGTGGAGAAGGTTGCTGCCTCCACCCCAGAAGCCAGCCCTGAGAGGGCCTCTCCGAGGGTCATTTCCCTTCACTCCGTCCCTTCCCTCGTGACCCGTCATGCAGTGTCCACTCCAGTCCCTGGCGTGGGAGACCCCAAGGGGGCAGCCCACCTCCCTGAGCCCCCCAGCACCCTCAGCCCATGGAGCCAGGGGCCTTGTGGCCAGGAGATCCCTGTGGGCCTGAAGAAGTTCCTATTTGGTGGGTCTAGACTGGCGTGCCCCCCAGCCAAGCCCAGCCTCTCCCAGGACTCAGCAGGCCTTGGCCTCAGAGAGGCAGGGGGCAGCCCACTGGCCGCCTGCAGGGGGCAGAATCGAGACAGGACCAGGGCCTGAAGCCCCTTGTGGAACCAGCCCTGCGGGCAGGGGAGGAAGGAGAGAGGGAGGGGGCAGGACAGCTGGGAGGGCCAGGCCTGGCTCAGAACTGGCACCGTCAGCAGTTGGTGGGGACTGGGGGCTGTGGAGGAGGGAGGGGGGCCGTGCTTTGAGTTGGGGCCCAGTAGGCAATGGACCCGGCAGGCAGCGCCAACCCCCGAACCGAGGGACCCCCCTCCCTCCGACCCAGAGCCTCCAGCCCGAGGGCCTCAATCTGTGCAGGCGGGAGGGGCGGCCCGCGGTGGAGCCTGCCTGGGAGGGAGGCCAAGCCCGCTCCCGCGCCCCCCGGGCTGAACCCTGGGCCTCCAGCACGGAGCCAGCACAGACACAGGAAATCGCCTAATTGCATCTGCTCGGAACAGCAAATCCCTCGCAGCTGCAGCGGCTGAGCTGGGGCCACAGGCGGCCGGCTGTCGCCAGCGTCCTGACAGCTCGGCTGAGCGTGCCAAGGGGTCTGGGCCTCTGGCCGGGGGCGCCGTTCCCAGGCCAGGGCCCCCCACCCACCCCAAGAGAGCCACCCCCACCTCAGTTCCCAGAACTGGGCCCAGCTGTGGATCAGCGAGGGGCTGAGGTCATGGGAGGGGCCAGGAGGGGCCGCATTACTCATATCCTGGGGCTGGGGAGAGGGGGAGGAGGCGGGCGGGGGAAGGGGCCCAGCAGGCTCCTGGTCCTTGGGCTGCTGGGTCAGGGGCTGGGGCTGGGGTGGCTTCTCCCAGTGTGGGGCTTAGGGAAGACATGGGGAGACCCCTACCCTGCCCCCTCATTCTGTCCCTCAGGAAGGCCCGGGGTCTCAGGGATGGCAGGAATGGGTGACCCCTGGAGGGGCCTCAGGGAGGATGTTCCCAGCAAATGAGGCTTGGCCTCTCCCAGGGCCGTTGTCAGGGCGACGGCAGGCAAACAGTAAACAGTGCTGGGACCTGCCACTCTGTGCTCACCTTGTTCCCACGTCTGATCTGCACATGTACGTGTGTGTGTGTGTGTGTGTGTGTGTGTGTGTGTGTGTACACAGCGAGGGGGCCTGGGCCCAATGGGGAGTGTGGCTCTGTGTCTACGTGAGCCTGTGTGCAGGGCTCATGGAGAACGTGTGAGTGTGTGTGTGGCTCATGGAGAACATGTGAGTGTGTGGGGAGCTCATGGAGAACGTGTGAGTGTGTGTGTGGTTCATGGAGAACATGTGAGTGTGTGGGGAGCTCATGGAGAATGTGTGAGTGTGTGGGGCTCATGGAGAACATGTGTGTGTGAGTGTGTGTGGTTCATGGAGAACATGTGAGTGTGTGTGTGGTTCATGGAGAATGTGTGAGTCTGTGTGTGGTTCATAGAGAACATGTGTGTCTGTGTGGGGCTCATGGAGAACATGTGTGTCTGTGTGGGGTTCATGGAGACCATGTGAGTGTGTATGGACTGTGTGTGGTTCATGGAGGACCTGTGAGTCTGTGTGTGTGGTTCATAGAGACCGTGTGGTCTGTGTGTGTGGTTCATGGAGACCGTGTGAGTGTGTGTGTGGTTCATGGAGACCGTGTGAGTGTGTGTGTGATTGATGGAGAACATGTGAGTGTGTGTGGGGGCTCATGGAGAACATGTGAGTCTGTGTGTGGTTCATGGAGAACGTGTGAGTGTGTGTGTGGTTCATGGAGAACGTGTGAGTCTGTGTGTGTGGGATTCATGGAGACCGTGTGAGTGTGTATGGACTGTGTGTGGTTCATGGAGGATGTGTGAGTGTGTGTGTGTGGTTCATGGAGACCGTGTGAGTGTGTGTGTGTGGTTCATGGAGACCGTGTGAGTGTGTGTGTGTGTGGTTCATGGAGAACATGTGAGTGTGTGGGGCTCATGGAGAACGTGTGTGTGTGTCTGTGTGTGTGTGTGTGTGTGTGTGTGTGTGTGTGGCTCGAGAACATGTGGGTCTGTGTGTGGTTCATGAAGGCCTGGCCATGTGTGTGCTAGGAGCTGAGCACAGGCCTGCTCAGGACACATGGCCAGAGGGGTGAGCCTAGACCTCGGACACGGTGTGGCCTTTGCGCCCTCAGAGCTGGGTGCACAGGTCTGGGGAGCAGGAGAAGGACCAGTGAGAGGGCCTTGCACACCCCACCTGGGCCCCTGCACCCCCAAACAGCACACACAGGCCACAGCCCTGCAGCACAAACGCCTGTGGTGCAGCTTAGACCCAGAGAGGGGAGCAAAGAGGCCGTCTCACCCCTCCCAGTGTCCTCCTGGGGTGCCCCAGCCAGGAAAGCCCCCCACCACGATTTGGAGGGACTGCTGGTTTGCACAGAGGAGAAGAACCCAGGACGCCAGCTCCCCAACAGCCCCAAGGGCGCCCCAGGCTCTGCCGTGCACACAGAAAGCCTGCAGCCCCCTCCCAGGCCTGAGCGGGGGACGGGAGGGGGGCTGGCGGGCCAGGCGCCATGTGATGGGGCCAGGTGTGGGGAATCAGGGGCTCCCTGAGGCCCTGGGCGGGAGTGTGGGAGGCGGGCGGATGGGGGTGCGGAGGCCAGAATCCCACGGCTGTAAGGGGAGTGGGCCCCCCGAGCCGAGGCTGTGGAGGGCCTGGCTTTTGTCTCAGAGGCTCCAAGGAGACTTAGGAGAGATTAGATCACGCTGGCGGCGGAGGCCCAGGGGCGGAGGCCCCAAGATAGCGAGCTGAGAGCTGCGGGGTCAGGCAGCGGACACGGGCAGGAGGGGCTGGGACCCCGGGCGTTGGGGGGGCAGTGCGCCCTGCAGAAGTGGGGACCCAGGGCCCCCTGGTCTGCAGGGGAACGGGGTGGGGGGGCAGGGCCCTGCCAGCTGAACACAGGCTTGGGGTCTGCTGGGCCAGGGCAGAGGCAGTGGGTGTCGCCCCAAGTAGGGGCAGCTTTTTTGTGCCTGGCCGGCGGCAGGCCTCAGTTTCCCAGAACTGTGTGTGGGTGGATCATGGAGAACTTGAAACTTTGAAACAACCCGGAGAGACTCAATGCCAAGGAGGGGCTCAGAGGGGTGGGGTGGTCTTGGTGAGCGGACCCCGTGGGGCCTGTCTGTGGGATCAGGCCCAGGCTGGAGACACCCCCTTCTCCGAACCTTGGGCCCTGGATGGGCCACTTTCTTCCCAGTCAGCATGCTCCTGGGGAGCAGGAAGGAGCCCCCCGCATGGTGCTCAATGGGACAAGGCGGCTGCCTAGTGGGTTCTGTCCTGCCCGGCCCGGCCCGGCATGGCAGTGCCCAGTTGGCGAGGCCTAACCAGCCCCCAGACCCAGGTGCGGCCATGGCAGGGCTGTGCAGTGGCCAGAGCCAGCTCTCCGGACCCCAGGACCCCTGTCCACATCCTCCCTCCCTGCCTGGGGTCACAGCCACACTGCCTGTAGCTGGTTCTGCTCAGGCCCGGGATCCAGGCTGGACCCCAGGCCCTGCCACCACCAAGGCCCACACAGATGCACCTCCCTCCAGCTGAGGGCACCTTCTCCATCAGCTCCTGTGGCCTCTGCCTTCAGGATAGGGAAACTGAGGCCTGGGGAGGGCCAGGGCCATCCTGTGTGGGGAGGAGGTGGGGGCCGTGGGCCGAGGGGTGACCGTCTCTGTGTCCCCAGGCTCGCCACGCAGTGGAGCGGGGAAGAGGAGGAGGAGGCTGCCCGGGAGCGGAGTCGGCGGGAGCGAGACGGGCAGCAGAAGGACCGGGACCAGGATGGAGGCAGCCCAGCCCCGGAGCCCCCCGAGCAGGAGACACTGTAAGCTGTGGCGGGCCTGGCCTGCACCCCAGGCAGAGGGGCCGCGGTGGTGGGGCTCTGCCCTGGGGTCCCTCGGCGGTGAGATCGGGGGACCAGGCCCAGAGCAGCAGCAAGGCTGTGGGGTGTTCGGGGCGAGGGGCTTTCCAGCCTCAGTGCCAGCAGAGCCTGCCGGACGCCTGACCAGAGTCACGCACAGCCCCCCTCCCGGGGCGCGGGCTCTGGCCGGCTCCAGTGGTCCCAGCCCTGCTTGGACTGGTTCTGACCCCAGCTGCACGGCCCAGGGCCCCCAGCCCCCCGCCTATACTCCCCACTCCCGATGACTCACTCACACCGAGTCCAACTTGGCCGGCCCCGGGCCCAGGAGGCCTCCCCGGCTGGGCTGGGCTGAGCTGTTTTTCCAATATCGCCCCCTTTCCCAGGCCTGTTTTGTTCCATTTTCTCCGAGTCAGCAGCTCTGGGCGGGGTGGGGTCCTGCAGCGGTCACAGCCTCCGGGCCAGGTTCTAGCAGAGCTGCCAGTGGCTGGGGGCAGGGGAGCCGGCCTGCAAAGGGGAACGGGGTGCAGAGGCTCCCCCTGCACCCAGGGAAGGAGCCAGGCAGGGTCCTGGGGCACAGCTAGCAGGACAGAGGGACACTGGTTACCCACATGCAGAGACACGGGCTGAGGGGCACACAGCCCAGCCTTCAGAGAGCCGCAGACCAAAGCGGGGGACACAGCCCAGCCCACAGAGAGCCCCAGACCAAAGTGGGGACACAGCCCAGGTCTCAGGGACCCCCAGACCAAAGGGGGGACACTGCCCAGGTCTCAGAGAGCCCCAGAACAAAGGAGGGACACTGCCCAGCCCTCAGGGAGCCCCAGAACAAAGTGGGGGACACAGTCCAGGTCTCAGGGAGCCCCAGAACAAAGTGGGGGACACAGCCCAGGTCTTAGGGAGCCTCAGTACAAAGGGGGGACACAGCCCAGGTCTCAGGGAGCCCCAGACCAAAGGGGGAGACACAGTCCAGGTCTCAGGGAGCCCCAGAACAAAGTGGGGGACACATCCCAGGTCTCAGGGAGCCCCAGCACAAAGGGGGGGACACAGCTCAGCCCCAGAGAGCCCCAGACCAAAGGGGGGACACAGCCCAGCCCCCAGAGAGCCCCAGAACAAAGGGGGGACACTGCCCAGCCCTCAGGGAGCCCCAGAACAAAGTGGGGGACACAGCCCAGGTCTCAGGGAGCCCCAGAACAAAGTGGGGGACACAGCCCAGCCCCCAGAGAGCCCCAGACCAAAGTGGGGACACAGCCCAGCCCCCAGAGAGCCCCAGAACAAAGGGGGGACACTGCCCAGCCCTCAGGGAGCCCCAGAACAAAGCGGGGGACACAGCCCAGCCCCCAGAGAGCCCCAGACCAAAGTGGGGACACAGCCCAGCCCCCAGAGAGCCCCAGAACAAAGGGGGGACACTGCCCAGCCCTCAGGGAGCCCCAGAACAAAGTGGGGGACACAGTCCAGGTCTCAGGGAGCCCCAGAACAAAGTGGGGGACACAGCCCAGGTCTCAGGGAGCCTCAGTACAAAGGGGGGACACAGCCCAGGTCTCAGGGAGCCCCAGACCAAAGGGGGGGACACAGCCCAGGTCTCAGGGAGCCCCAGACCAAAGGGGGGGACACAGCCCAGGTCTCAGGGAGCCTCAGAACAAAGTGGGGGACACATCCCAGGTCTCAGGGAGCCCCAGCACAAAGGAAATACACAGCCCAGGTCTCAGGGAGCCCCAGAACAAAGCGGGGGACACAGCTTAGCCCCCAGAGAGCCCCAGAACAAAGGGGGGACACAGCCCAGCCCCCAGAGAGCCCCAGACCAAAGGGGGGACACTGCCCAGCCCTCAGGGAGCCCCAGAACAAAGTGGGGGACACAGCCCAGGTCTCAGGGAGCCCCAGAACAAAGTGGGGGACACAGCCCAGGTCTCAGGGAGCCTCAGTACAAAGGGGGGACACAGCCCAGGTCTCAGGGAGCCCCAGAACAAAGCGGGGGACACAGCCCAGCCCCCAGAGAGCCCCAGACCAAAGGGGGGACACAGCCCAGCCCCCAGAGAGCCCCAGAACAAAGGGGGGGGGGACAAAATCCAGCTTTTAGGGAACTGTAAACTCATGGGTAGAGACAGCCCTGACTTGGGGTGACAGCCTCAATGGGGTGAGGTGCCCCAGACTGTGGGGGACACAGCCCAGCTCCCAGGGACACTGTGACATTGTGTGGACTGGCCCGGCCACGTGGAGTGCCTCCGTGGCACAGGGTCCGAGTGGGAGGGGTGCGGGTGGAGGTCGCCTGCCTGCACCCTGGCCCAGCTCGGCCTCTCTGCTCTCCCCCCCCCCACCCCTTCCTGCAGGCTGAAGGCCTCGGAGGCCCCAGAACCGGAGGAGGACGAGGGGTTCGGCGACTGGGCCCAGAAGTCGGAGCTGCGGCAGCCCCTGCGGGGAGAGAGCCCGGAGGGCGAGCAGGAGGAGGCCAGGCAAGCAGGGGTTAACGCCGGGAGAGAGAGGCCTCCGGCAGGCTCTGCGGGCCCTCAGCACATGCCTGAGCCAGAGCCAGAGCCCTCTGCTCCCCTTCCCCGCCAGCCCCCCGAAAAGGCCCCACGGCTGGGCGGGGGAGCGGGGGAGCGGGAGGAAGGGAAGGAGACGGCCCGGCGGCGGCGAGGGGCCGGGGAGCGGTGAGGAAATCTCATTCCTGGGCTCCCCAGGGCCCTGGGCCCCGGCCAGACCAGCTGCGGCCGCGGTGTTGCCACATCAGCACACATCTGCAGCCCACTTACGTAATGGAGCCCTGGCCCCGCGCCCTTCCTCCCGCGGGGCTGGCGGGCCTCCATTCCCACGGAGGGAGCAGGTATTTCCAGATGTGCGGCCCCCGAGCAGGCCCGGGGGACACGCTTTCCAGATGTGCGGACGTGTTTGCCGGTTTGAACCGGATCGGGGGGCGGGGGTGGGGGCCCAGGGCTGGGGGCTGTTCCCCCAGCTTGCCCCCCTCCCCAATCCAGGGTCTGAGCTGTTCTCTAAGCCATGCAGGCTGTGCCCAAGTGCCCCTCCATCTCTCTCCTCGTGTGCTCAGAGTCCCAGTTCTGCTCAGAAGCTCTAACCGGGGGACAGGGTCTCCCTTTGTCTCAGTGTCACCCGAACCCCAGCTCTCCCCGGCCCTCCAGGCAGCCCCGAGCTGAGGCTGAGAACCCTTCGTGGCTCAGCCAGTATTTCCCGTCCCTACAAGCACTCTCCCTCACTTCAGGAGCCCCCCGCCTAGCTGGGGGGCCCTGGTCCTGACTCAGCCTCCTACCCACCATCCCCTGCAGGCCCCCCAGTGCTCCCCATCTGCCCCTGTAAGTTGGGGCACACTCTGCATTTCTGAGCTGGGGCCGGGGCCTGCAGGATGGCCACAGCTGGCTCCTTCCCGCCCGGCCAGCAGCAGGCCAGCATTCTCAACAGCAGGGGGCACTTTGACTCTTTGGTAGAAACCGTAGAACCCGGGCTCTCCTCCCTGCACCCCCACCCCCGCGGCCGCCACGCCGCTGCTGAATGAGCCCTCTGTGTGCCTGCCGCCTGCTGGACCCCGGCCCACCCTGGGTGGTGGGTCTGGGTCTTGCTTGGCACCAACACCACGGGGCCTGAAATCATGGAAAATTCGAGACTTTCCCACCTTCTTCTCCAGGTTCAGTCCCGCTCAAATGCAGAGCAACTGGCTGCCAGCAGGCTGCCCACCCCCCACACCCGCCCCCGCCCACCCCGTGGCCAGCTCAGTCAGCCCCCTCCTCAGGATGCGTCCTAGCTGGGGCCTGCCCTTGCCTGTCCACCAGCTGTCCACCTCCCAGACCACCCCAGACCCACCTCACTCTGCAACAGCCTTCTCCCCAAGGCCCACGGCTGCACTCCGAGGAGGGCAGCTTCAGCTGCAGGGGACTGGGCAGCCTAGGCTCCACGGTGGGCGAGGAGACGCAGGACACGAGGCAGGGTCTGTCCAGAGAGTCTGAGCCCGGGTGGGGCCTCAGCATGGGGTGGCCCTCTGCCGGGCTGTGGCAGTCAGGGCTGTTTCTCAAGGGCCCAGGGAGAGGGGCTGCACACCCTTCACCCCAGGGCCTGGGTCTCGGGCATCCTTGGCCGGACGAGGAAACTGAGCTTGGGAAGTGGGAAGGAGCCACCAAATGGCCGCTGGCCAGCCTGCATCCCTCTTCCTCCCACAGGCCCTGTGGACCCCAGGATGGTGATGAGCTGTGTCCTGCCAGGGTCTCCCTGGAGGAGCTGCATCTGCACTCCAACTCCGAGGCCCAGGAGGGGCCAGGGCCGGAGCAGGCAGAGCCCGAGGACCCAGAGGAGACGGGCCGGGGCAGCCCGGGCCCAGCAGAGGAGGCCGAGGAGGCCGAGGAGGTGATGGTGATGTCCCTTGGGGTCGGGTTGTGTTCGTCTCTGCTGCCTGCTCACTTCGTGGCTGGTCCCACAAGCCCCCCCTGTGTGCTCAGGGTGCCAGTTCTGCTAGAGAGCCGGCAGTGTGTAGCCCCCACATTCTCCACATTCTCAGGGGGAAGAGGAGGGGGTGCTCGGTGACTCTGTGTGGTCAGTCCTGCTGCAGAAAATTCCAGAACCAAAGCGTGTCAGGGCTGGGGAGGATCTGAGGCCCAGGCAGGGGAGGGAGCTGCCCCGGCAGGTTCCACGGGGGGTGGAGGGATAGGGGGGTGCACAGGGGGTGCTCATCCGGGTCCCATAAGCTCAGGGGTTTTGTTTCCAGCACCAACAATGGCAGCGGCCTGGAGCGCCCAGCCCCTTGCTCCTGGAGGCGACAACCGAGCCGAGCTCGCCTCCCCTCAGCCCCAGCACCAAAGTAGGTTAAGCTTCAAGCGCTGCCTCTCCCTCCTCCCAGCCCCATCAGCCCCAACAGAAAGCACTCCTGCTCTTTCTCTGTCATCCTCAGCCCCTGCCCCCCCCTCCACACACACCACCACACCCAGCATCCCGGGAGCACCATCAGGCAGGGGGAGAGGGTGGGCCTTGCTCGGCTCCCAAGGCTCATGTCTCTGTCGCCCTGCACAGCTCCTGGACAGAACCGAGTCCCTGAGCCGCTCCATCCAGAAGAGGTGTGTACCCCAACGGCTTCCCAGGCCGGGCTTTGAGGTTCTCCAAGGGAAGTTGAGGGGCTGGAGACCGGGGCCTGAGCGAGCTCTCCTAGGGCTCAGGGTAGGGTTGCAAGCCTACTGAGGTGACAGCGGGTGTGACCCTCCTCCCACCCTCCAGCAACAGTGTGAAGAGGTCCCAGCCAGCCCTGCCCATCTCCAAGATTGATGACCGGCTGGAGCAGTACACCCAGGCCATCGAGGTAGGCCCAGCCCTCCTGCTCTGCTGGATCTCCACTCTGTTCATCCACCTCATTCACCCAATACCCCTCAATCCAACCAACACCCCTCCATCCAACCAACACTCCTCCACCCAACGAACACTACTCCACCCAACACTCCTCCACCCAACCAACCCCTCCATCCAACCAACCCCCCCATCCAACCAACACCTCCATCCAACCAACACCCCTCCACCCAACCAACACTTCCATCCAACCAACACCCCTCAATCCAACCAACACCTCTCCACCCAACCAACACCCCTCCACCCAACCAACACCCCTCCACCCAACACCCCTCCATCCAACCAACCCCTCCATCCAACCAACACCCCTCCATCCAACCAATACCCCTCCATCCAACCAACCCCTCCATCCAACCAACACCTCCATCCAACCAACACCCCTCAACCCAACCAACACCCCTCCACCCAACCAACACTCCTCCACCCAACACCCCTCCATCCAACCAACCCCTCCATCCAACCAACACCTCTCCATCCAACCAACACCCTTCCATCCAACCAATACCTCCATCCAACCAACACCCCTCTACCCAACCAACACCCCTCCATCCAACCAACATCTCTTCACCCAACCAACACCCTTCTATCCTGCCAACACCCTTCCAGTCATCCCATGCCCTTCCAGCCCTATGCCATGAACAGTGTGAGGACAGCCTAGGTCTGTCTCATGTCCCACCTCGTCACCTGTGCTCTACAGAACAAGGGAGCTTCAAAGCACACTGCCTAGAGGAGCACACATCTTGTCAGAGCCCTGCTCCTGCCCTAGGTTGGGGACGCGCCGCTGGGGAAAAGCAGAGACACAGAGGGTGGCCCCTGCATGCTCCCTGGGCTCTCCAAGGGGCCCCACGTGGCTCTCCACTAGCGTGGCATTGGACTCTGTCTCCTCCGCAGACTGCTGGCCGGAACGCCAAGCTAACTCGACAGCCCTCCATCGAGCTGCCCAGCATGGCCGTGGCAAGCACCAAGAGCCTGTGGGAGTCGGGAGAGGTGCAGGCTCAGGCTGCGGCCAAGAGCCCCTCCTGCAAGGTAGGAGCCCTCCCCGGGCGAGGCCGTCCAGGCGGAGACCACCCAGGCCGGCCCTGAGCGTGGAAGGTGGCGGGAGAAGATTACTTGGCGGAATGAAGGCAGAAGGTGCAGGTGCCCTTCCCTGCCTCTCCCGGGCGCTTGGCCCTCCTGCAGGCAGCAAGCAGGCAGGCCCGCCTGGCCAGGGAGGGCCAGGCTGGAGAGAGGACCCAGGGCTTCGGCCCCAGTCGGCTGTCTGCAGTGGTGACGTGTCCTCCTTCCACCCCAGGACATCGTGGCTGGAGACATGAGCAAGAAAAGCCTCTGGGAGCACAAAGGAGGCTCCAAGACCTCCTCAACCGTTAAGGTAGAGTCCGTAGGTCGTGGTGGCGGGGAAAGCAGGTCCGCAGGCGAGAGCCACGAGGGACCATCCTGAGTGCGTCCAGGAGGGCTTCCCAGAGGCAGCGGCCTCTCCCTTCGGCCCTCTCACCTTTGCTCTCGGATTCCTTTCCCGACAGAGCACCCCCTCCGGGAAGAGGTACAAGTTTGTGGCCACCGGACACGGGAAGTACGAGAAGGTGCTGATGGACGAGGGCTCGGGGCCCTAAGCCTTCCCTCTCGGTGAGTCTGGGCAGCGGCCTACCTATGCGTGACGTGGACGGTTCTGGGAACGTGGTGACGGAGGAGGGGCCTGCTGCTGTCCACGTGACGGCAGCAAAGGTGCCCGTGAGGGCCAAATGCCCAGCCTCAGAACCGGCCAGAACCCAGGCTCCTGGAGGCCTTCCTCACACCCTGACATCAACTCCGTGGCCTCGGGCCACTCGGCCGTTCTCTGAGGGGGGACTCCACTCGCCCTCTCAGGACGAGAACCTCGGGTCCCAGCTCGGCTCCCTGGGCGGGTGAGGTGGTCGGGCCGCTGCGAGTTGCAAAAAACTAATGGGAGGACAAGACGAGGCCCGGCCAGTAGTGGCCGAGGTCTGAGAGCGACCAGGACCCGGGTCCTGTCCTGTCCCAGCCACGACCTCTCTGGCGTCCACCCCCCTTCCCACTGGCGGAGCAGTCAGAAAGGTGACCCGCTGCCACGGAGTGACACACTTTTATTTGTGGCCTGGGTCCCAGGGTCCACACACAGCACCCATTGTGTTCTGGAGTGAATGGGGCCTCGGCCCCTCCTTCCCCCCCTTCCCTCCTGAGTCCTCTCCTGGGCCAGGACCGGAGGCCTCCCCAGGTCCCTCTGTGTCCCTCTCCCACTCACTGCAGTGGGTTGCCCACCCTGTGGCCCTCCTCCCTCCCTGCCTCCCAGGAGGCCCGGGCAGGCACTGGGTGTGAGGTCAGCCTGCCCAAGTCCTGGCTCACGTGGACACAAGCCCTTCCTTCCTACCCTGAGCCCCTGTCCCTCCACACATGGAAACCACCTCCTCCCTACCCCCCGCTCCAGCCTCGTGCACTTCCCCCATCCTCGCCCCTGTCCCTCCTGACAGCCTCCCCGGGCTCCCGCAGCCCCCCGGCCTTTCCCAGGTCCATGCGGCCTCTTCACCGGCTGTGGCCCCTCCTGTCCATCTGGTTCGAGGCCGCCCGGCCGCCCTTCACCGCAGCCTCCAGCCGGCCGCCGTGCGGTTGAAGTTCTTGGGCGTGGGGCTCAGCTCCAGGACGGGGTGGATGGTGGGAGGGGGCCGCGTGGCCGCCTCCTGCAGCTTCCGGGCATTGAAGCGGGGTCGGCACAGAAAGGGCAGGCGGCCCCGGCTGGGCAGGGTGCACACCCCACCCTCCGGCCCCGCCCGGCTGTGGTGGGACTCGGCCACCGACACACGGTACAGTACCGCATCCCACAGCCTGGAGGCCCGGGAGGCAGGGGGCCGGGGCACCGGGTTCGAGGTGGGCTGGGGCGCCAGGTCCACAGGAGGCAGGGGGGCATGGTCGGTAGGAGGCCGGGGGGCCAGGTCAGCAGGAGGCCGGGGGGCCGGGTCGGTGGGATTCCGGGGGCCCAGGTCTGTGGGAGGCCGGGGGGCCGGGTCGGCGGGGGCCATCTTCTCCTGCTCCTTCTGCTCGGCGCTCTGCTCCAGCCTCAGCAATGGGGCCTCTTCCACCTCCTCCATCAGCTGCTTCTTGAGGCGCATCCACCCACTGAGCCGGGGCTTGGGCGTCACTTTGGGGACAGGGCAGGGGTGGGGGCCTGCGGGCGAGGCGGGGGTCCAGGCCCCCCGAGGCCTGGAGACCTGCCGGGCCTCCGGGGCGGGGCCGGCTGTGGGGGGCTCCTCGGCCTCGGGGGCCACAGGGGCTGGCCGGGCAGGCGAGAGTCCCGGCGAGCGGCAGGTGGGCGCGATGGGCACCACCACCCGGGTGTGGGCCTGTCTGGGCCCCGCAGCCAGGAAGCCGGGGGGCGGCCTGGGCACAGGGGGCGCCTCCGGCCAGGGCTTGGCCACCTGGGCCCCAGCGGGAAGAGGGCGGATGTGGGCGATGGGGACCAGGGGCTGGGCTCCAGGGGGGCGAGGGGCTGTGCCTCGGTCCTGGCCACCAGACCCCCCATCTGGGGCCATCGGGGGCGGCTCAGGGGCCCCGGTGCCTGGGGGTGGCACCAACTGGATGTGCACTCGGCTGATGTGGGTGTCCCCCAGGGCGGGTGCTGAGACACAGGCAAAGTCGCTGGGCCCCTGGGCTGGTGCTGGGGTTGTGAGCGGGAGCCCCGGGGCCGTGAGGGGAGAGGGTCGGCTCCCGTGCGGAGGGAAGCTGAGGGCCAGCGTGGACTTCTGCAGGGGGGACGGCACACGGTGGGTGACGGTGGCGTGGGGGACGCGGGGCAGGGTGGCTGCCGTGTGCGGGGCTCGGGCGGGGTGTGGGGCTGTGACCTCTTGGTCGTGGCTGGCCTCGCTCACGGGGGACAGGGAGCTGCGAAAAGCCCCCGTGGGGGCTGAGGGCCCGGCCCCGGCCCCCCTTTTCCGGGCCGCCTTCCTCAGAAGCTTCTGCAGGACCAGGTTGTCCTTCCCGGGCTTGGGCAGCAGGGGCGGTGGGGGCGCGGGGGGCCCCGGGAGGCACAGGCCCACCGTGTCAGGGGGCGTCGAGGCAGCAGAGATGAGCATGGCTGCACTCTGGGTGGAGAGGGACAGTGGTCAGTCAGCTCTCTTCCCCCTGGATCCCTGCTGGGGCAGGGGGGACTTGCCCCCGAGTCCAGAAGGACCACTGGGCCCTGCCTCCAGCCCTGGCCCCCGCCAGGTGGGCTCTCGGCACGTCCGCCTGCATCAGCAGCTCCGTGGGCGGCGGTGCCGTCCCCGGGTGAGGAGCGAGCCCGTGGGGGGGCCCGTTCGGTGGGTGATGAGCGAGGGCTGGAGCACAGCTGGGCCAGGAGGCCCACCGGCGGCTCCAGGCGGGGCACGTGCTGGGCTGGCACCCGCGGGCCAGGAAGCGCACCCGCCCACAGCGCGTGAGGGGCGCCTCGCCGTCGCCGGCCCGACCACAGGCGCGTCCGCTGTGAGCCAGCGGTGAGGGCGGCGGCCAGGGGCTCTGGGCGAGGGGCTCATCCTCCGAAGGCCAGGGGCCGGGCGGTGGGAGCCATTTTCGCTGAGCTGTGCGAAACAGAGCTTCCCACAGACCTCCGGGTGGGGTGGTCCCGGCCAAGCCGCCCGCCGGGTTTCTGGGCGCCATGTGCGAGCACGGACATTGACAAATGGTGTCTGGGCCGAGCCAGAGGCGGCGGGGGGAGGAGGGAGGCTGGGGCCGCTGGCTCCGCCAGGCAGCGATGGATGGGCCGGGGAGGGTCTGCCCAGGGGCTCCATCGGGGCTGCTGTCTGCCTCGGAGAGGCCGGGGCCCAGCAGCCACAGGAACCCCAGTTCTGTGTCTGGGGGGGCTGCCAGGCCAGCAGTGATGGGCAGAGTCTCTAGGCCTTGAGTCTGAGCAAGGCCAGGGATCAGGGGCTCAGCCTCCGGGTAGCAGACCTCCATGGGGGAGGCAGGCCTGGGGCAGGGGCTGCTCCTGGTGGGAAGGGGGGATTGTGGGTAGGCCAGGGTGGCCACCAGCAGCGGCTGGAGGCTGGGTGGGGCAGGGTGCCCCCTTGGGACTGCAGCCTAACACCCCCTCGCCTGTGTTTCAGCTGTCCTGAGCCGGGTGCAGGCCGGGGGCTCCCTCCACACTTCCCACCCATGCTCCCGGGGAGTCCGGCCAGATGCCCACCCAGCCCTGCCGAAGAAGCCGCTTCCCATTACCTGCCTGGCTGCCCACGCCCCGCCAGCACCCGCCACTGCCACCGCCTCTGTCCCCGGACCTCCGGCCTCGCTCCCCTCCGCTCCCTGGCCCACCGGCTCTGCCTCTCACAGCCCGGGAGGATGGGATGCTCATGGTGCTTGGCTGAGGGGACCATCCCCAGAGGCCACACACCCACCAGGAAGGGGTGTCCTGTGCAGAGAGCACACCAGCCAGGGGCCATCCCGTCAGGAGCCACCGATGCCTGCGGGACGCTCATCCCTGCCTCTGCTTGCGGCCCCTTCATGTGTGCAATAAAGCTCTTTCTGTCCCCACACGCTGGCCCCTTGCTGCTCACTAACTGGGGGGGAGGAACACAGGAGCAGGGCTGGCCGCGGGGCAAGGGCCATCCCCGGCAGGATGGTGGGACCCAGGTCTCTGGCCTCTGCATTCAGACAACAAATCCCGTCCTGTCGCTTCTGGGATTAGACTCTTGGATCTGAGGTGTGTGATGGCCTAAATCCTGCCACACTTGATGGGTGGGGGGCAGCTCCCCTCTTCCAGAGTGTCTGTGATGTCTCTCCCTTTCTTGACTGGCCTGAGAGAAACTTCATAGCACCCAAAACAGCGTGCCCCTCTGGTCTGTGCACCCCCTGAGGACAAGACCTGCCTTGGAGTCATGCCCCATCCTAGCACCCAGGAGTTGTTCAGTGAAGGTTTGATGTATGGACAGATGTCTGAATGATGGATGATGGGTGGATGAATGGATGAGTGGATAGATATATGGATGGACAGATGGATGATGGATGGATGCATGAAGAGATAGATGAATGGGCAGATGAATGGATGATGGATGGATGGACAGACAGACCTGTAGGTGGCTGAGTGGATGGATGGATGGGTGGGTGAGTGGATGGATGGATGGGTGGGTGAGTGGATGGATATATGGATGGACAGATGGATAATGGATGGATGCATGAAGAGATGGATTAATGGGTAGGCAGATGATGGGCAGATGGATGGATGATGGATGGATGGGCCTGTAGAGGAAAGAGAGGTAGGTGGGCAGGAAATGGTTGTGTGAAGAGTAAATGGGAGAAGGGTTGGAGAGGGGGTCAGACAAACACATGCTGCCCAGAACAGTGGGTGGCTGGCTGGGTGGGTGGATACATGGTTGGGAAGATGGATATAGACAGATGGATGATGAAAAAGAAAGGCGGGAGATAGACAGTGATCGTGGGTGTATAAAAATAAGTGAGTGGATGGGTGGGTGAGTGGACATATGTGTGAAGTGGGAGACACTTCCCACTCCTCCCTGCTTCCCCTCCTCTCACAGGGTCTGCACTTGGCCTAACTTTGGGCCCTGTGCACTCCGTGTCCGGGGAGCCCCTTGCAGAGCCGGCGGGACGTTGGCCTGGACCCTGGGTTCTAGTCTGGCTCTGCACAGAGCCTCCGTTGCTAAAGTCCTTGTGGTCAAAACATGCCAGCCTCCCAAAAGACAGAGCAAACATATCGGCTCAGAATTGTTAAACCCGAAAAACTCCTGGCACCTTTTCTCACTCTGGCCCACCTCTGAGGCCAGGGAGGCAACCAGCCACACTGCTCTGAACCTCTCAGCCCTGTTGAGGTTGTCCATACATGGCCCAGTCTGAGCATCACGGATTCCCACTGCTGCACTGACTCAGGACCAGGGGATCAGAACATGTCAACCATTGAGGCCGAGAGGTTGAGAGGGATCACTGTCCAAGGGGTGGCTGGCTGTCCACTCACCCACCCACCCATCTATCCATCCATCCATTCATCTATCCATTCTATCCACCCACTCATCCATCCATCTATTCATCCATCCATCCATCCATCCATCCATCCACCTGTCCATCCACCCATCTATCCATTCATTCATTCATCCATCCATCCACCCACCCACCCACCCACCCATCCACCTATCTGTGCACCCATCAACCTATATGTCTGTGCACCCATCCATCTATCCACCTATTCACAGACCCACCCATCTATCCATCTATCCATCCATCCATCCATCTACCCACCCACCCATCCATCCACCTATCCATCCATCTATCCATTCATCCATCCATCCACCTACCCATCCATCCACCCATCCATCCATCCACCCAACCATCCATCCGCCCACACATCTACCTATCTGTCTGTGCATCCATCCATCATCCATCTGGACTGAGGCCCTGCCATCTGTTCTCTTACCTGAGAGGCCTCCTCCCACCCCCCTGCTCTGGGCACCAGGGCCTACGCGTGGAAGGAAGAGAGCCTGGTCTTTAAATTGCCTGGGCACCGGGCATGTGGGGCGGCAGCTGCATGGGGATGGGAAAGTGCAATGTCAGCAGCTTGCACCTTGGCCTGGCAGAGCCAGAGCCCAAGGCCTGCCAGCTGCAGCCCAGTGGGCACCAGCAGTCACCCAGGTCAGCTCGGGGCTCTCAGGCCCTGTTCAAGCTCTTCAGGTTCCAATACCCCAACCATGCATCCTGGGGGCCAGGCCAAGATCTAGGGACCCCTGCCCGCCCCAAGGTCACTCCAAGAACAGCTGGCACCAAGACCCTTGGGGGCCGCCCTCCCCGGCTCTGCTCAGCCTGCCCACACTGTCCTGGGCGTGACCTGCAGTCAGTCCTCACCCTCTTCCTGGAGTGAAGACCAGTCACCACCACAACCTGGGCCGGGCCGTCCCTGCCCCTGCCTCAGTGCCCTTCCCGCTCCCCCAAGGCCCCTGCCCCGCCCTGCCCTCTCCCGCAACCCCAGCTGCCAGGCCCAGGGACGAGTGTGGATTACCTGTGGAGGCCTTCGGTGTCCCGCCGCCCGGCCAGCAGTGCCCGCTGGTGTGTCCTGCCGTGCCGTGGGCCTGGCGCCTGAGGGGAGGTCACCGATGCCCAAAATAAAACCTGCCCCGTCCCTCTGACCTCAGCACCCACACGCTGGCTCAGCCCGCTCATCGAGAGCACCTGCCAGGGGCCGCGCGGCTGAGCAGGCAGCCACCCTCCTCTGCTGGCCGAGTGGGGCCACTGCAGGTGCAGCCGGTGGGAGCCCCTGGGCCCGGCACGGGTGGGGGGCAGCGGGCAGCGGGCAGCTCCCTGGGTGCCTGGGGCTCCAGCATGGCCCACAGACAGCCAGCTACCCCGGCGCTGTTGGTGCATGTCCCAGCCTTGGTGCGTGGGGAGTTCCTGGGGCTGCTGGCAGAGCGAGAGGAGCTGATCTGAGGAGGGGGCCACTCAGGGCTTCCAGAGCCCACGGGGCAGAGAGTGGGTGCCAAGGGGCCCAGAGTCAGGGCTGCGTGTGGCCCAACAAGACCTTGCCCACTAAGGACCAGGACCGGCGCAGGGGACACCGTGGGGCCAGAGGAGCCCAGAGTTCTTCCCAGGAGAGTAGGGACATCCCCCGCAGCTCTGGCCTCTGGGGGGGTCACGGCTGGGCCCTCGGAGAGGTGGGCATGGAGGGTCTCTGCCTCCTCTGGCAAGGGACCACGGTATGTCCCTGCCTCCCTAAGGTCCCCGGCTTCATCGCCGACCTCCAGGGACTGCATGGGTGCAGCTAAGACCTTCCGAGAGCTTCCGAGGTGGGCACCGAGGGGGGCAGGGCCGGGCACGCCAGCTTCCCAGGCAGGCCCCCCCTGCCACCCCGGCCGCCGAGGTCCAGAGGGCAGTGGCCTCGTCTGTGTCTGCCTTGCCTGAGCCAGGGTCTGGAAGGAGGTACCAGGCTGGTCTCCCCCACTCCGGGCCTCGGTTTCCCTCATTGGAGGGACCAGGCTGTGGGGACCATTGGAGGCCGAGTGAGCTGTGTGCTGGCTGGAGGGTGCCACCCAGGGACCAAGGGGCACGGCCGAGCCCCCTGTGGGGGCGCACTGAGCCTGGCTGGGAGCTCCAGGCTGAGGGCAGTGGGGGGCCCCTGACCTGGGGACTAGCAGTTGCTCATCCCTCTCGCCTGAGCTCTCCCCACACCTCAGGGGCCTGTGCCCGGGGAACAGGTCTGGCCTTGCTGTGACCTCCATTCGAGGGGGGCTGGTTGAGGATTCGGGGTCCTCCCCACCACGGGGGTCTCCAAGCCCTGCTGCTTCCTCAGAGGGGCAGGTTGGTGGGCCGGGGCGCTGTGCAATGTGCACCCCGCTGTCACCCGGAATGGAGGGGCTCCTGGGCCGGGGACCCCACACCAGGCCGGCCCAAGGAGAACCCTGTGTGTCCCCGGGGGCACTCAATCCCTTCCTTCATCCTCCTCGGCCGCTGAGAATGCGCCCGCTGTCCGGGCAGCAAAAATAGAAGCTGACAGACACCTCCTCAGCACACGCGCCCCCTTCCTCGCCTCCTTGGGCCTCCTCCTGGGCTATTCCTATACTTGGTCAGGGACCCGCGTGGGCACAGCCCCGGCCGCCTGGCCCGGGCCAATGGGCTGCTGGGAAAGATCAAGTGTCACTACAACATAAGGCTGTGGGGCCGAGAGGGCAGCACCCGAGCCGGTCCTGTCCACAGGGAGCTGCAGCCTTTTCTCCAGACTCAGCCAGGTGGGGACGCAGGCGTGGCTGCTGGGCCGGGCAGGGCCTGAGCGCCGGGGCCTGGGCAGCAGCGCCCCAGGCACTGACTGGGATCCCGGGACCGGAGTGACAGGCTGCCCAGCTCCAGGAGTCTCAATTCTAAGGGGGGAGGCCGGTGGAACCATGGGAAGCACACTGGGGTGCCCCTGAGGAAGCGGAGGCCCAAGTGGGGGACCTTCTGGGAGGTCCTGGTGGGAGGGGGGGGGTCCCAGGCTGGGGCTGGAGCGAGCTGAGGGTTCAGAGACAAAGCGGCCGGGAAGGCTGCCTCCTGGGGCTCTGGCTCCGGCTGGCCGTGGCTCTACGGCTGCCATTTGCACAGACGACACCCAGGCGGGGGCTCGCCCAGGCCGCCGGGATGGCCCCGGGCGGGGTGGCCAGGACCCCGGTGGCCAAGGACGGGAGCGGACAGGGCCGGGGGGAGGTCAGGGCCCACGGCAAGTGAGTGGCAGGGCCTCCTGTGTCCCCCTTCGTGTCCCACCCCCCCTAGCTATGTCTTGTCACCAGAGAAGGAGGGAGGGAGTATGTCTCCCAAGGAACGCTGACCTCAGAGGCTATTTCCACCCTCTGGGCCAGCTGGCTCCTCTCCGCTGTGCTGTGCCATCCCTGCCCCAGCACCCTCCTTGTGCCCCCCTCCGGATGCCCCTCGGGCTCCTCCAGAAGGACAGAGGGACTCAGGCGGTCTGTGGACCTACGGGGACATGGAGCAGGGCCGGCCTGGCAAAGGCCCGAGCGGGCAGCTGCCCCCGCAGCCCCGCTCCACCCACCATCTTGAGTTTCCGGGCAGAGGCGTCTTGGCTGACCCGGGTGCCTATTTCTAGACCCCTCAGCTGCCACCGGCTCCTTAAAAATAACCCGAGTCCGGCTGGGGCCGTGCCAGGGCGAGAGGTGGGCACAGCAGGGCTAGGCCCCGGCTCCCCAGGACCCTCCAGAGCGTGGCCCCGGTCAAGGCTGGTGTGTGTGTGGGGGGGGGTGGGGGGATGGAGGCTCAGGAGCTGTGATCCCCTTCTTCCCCCAAACTGAGGACGTGGCTGCAGGCTGTAACTGAGGGGGAGCCTCGGATTCCAGGAAGCGAGCTGGGGAGGGAAGGGCCCCTCTGCCTGGAGGGCTCTCGGAGCTGCTGCTTAATGATGCATGGAGCTGAAATTGCTCTGGGAAAAGCCGCATTCTTGACCGGGGCTCTGCAGAGCTGCTCCCACCTTAGCAATGCGACGTGCTCGCATTTTTCGATGATGAACGCCTGTTTTTCTTGCACAGAGCTCCCCCGCGGGGGCCATAACTATTGTCTTCAAGTGAGCTGTAATGGGCTGTCAGGCGCTGGGCTGTCTCAAACCCCAGGCCGGCAATCTCCTGCAGCTGCTCTGCGAGCTGCGTTCCCAGGCCCCCGGCCGCCCCGGGGGTGAGCGCGGCCAGCTCTCCGGAAAACGGTCCTCGAGCACGCTGGCCCGGCGCCGGCCGCACCTGGACACGTGCAGCCCGGACCAGAGCGTCCCCGCAGACATTGACAAACTCAAGAGCACGCACGGGGCCTGGGAACGCGGGCGGGGGAGCTGGGGGGCGGGGACCGCCCGCTCAGTCCTGCAGCCCACATGTGTGTGTGCGTGTGGGGTGGGGGGGACACACACGGGGAAACGGACCCCATCTGTTCCCGGAGCTCGGGGCCCGGGCGGCTGCCTGGTGGGAAGAGGGAGAGACAAAGGGACGGCTCGGGCACCACCTTGGGAAGCGGGATCAGAGGGCTGTGGGGGAACCTGGGAGAACGTGGGTCCCTGCAGGAACCCATGGGTCCGAGAAGGGAGTGTGGGGCTCACACCAGGAACACGGGCTCTTGTGGGGGCGCTGAGTGGGAAGACCAAGGAACCCTCACCTCACCCCAAAGACAAGACCCCCCCAGCACAGCCTGGACGGGCAGGACCTGCTTGGGGTGGGGGCAGTAGGGAGCACCATCTTCCGGCATTCCACATCCCTGGAGCCAGGGTTGGAGGACAAGACAGTGGGCCTCGGCCTGGGCCTTGGCGGAGGCTAGAGGCCTCGTGGGGCGGCCCCTGATGTGGGAGGGGCCTGCCCAAGGCCAGAGCAGTGGCCCTTGACCCTGCCCGCAGGTGTCCCCTCCCACTTAGCCCCTCCCCATGGGAAACCTAACCCCTCGGTGAGGACCCAGGCAGCTCTAACACGGGCCTTGGTCTCCCGGCAGAACCCCCCGCCACCATGTCGGACGAGGAAGTGTGAGTAACAGTCGGAGAGCCACCTGCCCCCCGCCACTCCCGCCAGCCTGGGGACCCCAGGCCCTGGCTGTGTGTGTGAGACCCCCCCACTAGCCAAGCGAAAGCCCCTCACGCTCTGTCCCTCTCTCTCCCCACAGTGAACAGGTGGAGGGTAAGTGTCCGTGCTGCGTCCCCGCTGCGCGGCCCCCAGGGACCTGGGTGTCCCTGGGCATGACTCTCCTGGGACCCCTGCCTGCAAGCCCTAGATCCCCCTTAACCCTGCCTGCGCCCGAGGCCTCCTCCTCCTGAAAGCTGATGTCCTCGAGATGGGGGGCCCTTCCGGACCCAGCCTGTCCCTCGCCCAGTCTGCCCCCCACCCCCGCCTGCCCCACCCAGCCTGCCCCCGCCCTGCCTGCACCCCAAGGCTGTCGGGCAGCCCTGTCCCAGGGCGCTCTGCAGGTCCCACCACTCTCCGCCATGCACCCCGAGTAGGACAGAGGTGCTCAGGCCACCGGCACCCCAGAGCTGCCTCTTCTCTGGGCCCGGCCAGCCCAGGGCCACCCCGCTAACAGGCTCTGACCTTTCTTCTCTCCATGCAGAGCAGTACGAGGAGGAAGGTGAGTGTGCGGCCCCAGGGGGGCCCCTTAACCCTGACCTTCCTCACCCTCGCCCTCCACTCGGCATGAGGACCCTCCTTCCTCGCCATTAATTCCCATTTGCGGTCACGGCCGCCTTCCCGTCTCCTTAACCGATTAATAGGCGCACACGCATTAATCACTCATCAGTCCTTCACCCTCGTCACACCCGCCCGGCGTGAGCTGTTGGCTGGGACGCGGCCATTAGCATCCTCACCTTCGTTAACATTCAGGGTCCGGGTGCAGGCCCGGCCCCGTGTGCCCCCCTGGCCCCAGCTCGCTCTGGCTCGGCACCCTCCGCCCCCGCCCCCGCAGTGGGTAACCTTCGGGGCACCCCGGAGCCCCCTCCCTCGCCCGCCTGCCCTGCCTCCGTGGGAACCTCGGGGCCGGCGGCCGCACCTGGGAACTGTGCGGGGTGGCGGTTCTCAGGCTCCTCGGAGCGGAGCGGAGCGGAGGCCTGGCGCCCGCGGGGCCCTGGGAACGCGCCCCTGCCTGCACCCTCCCCATCCGGGCCTCCCGGGAGGCCCTCGGCACGCTCCGCGCTGAAAATACTCTGAAAGCACTTGGCCCCCCTAACAAGGGGAAACAGCTCTCTTTCTGCTGAAAGTGGAGGCTTTCGGAGCGGGGGCCGTGGGCCTGGGGAGCTGGTCCTTCACGGGGTCCCCTTGGGGCACCCCCGAGGCCGCCCACCAGGCAGCGTTCTCTTGTACCACGTGGGTCTCATCCCCGTCCTCACCTCTGGGGCCGCAGAGCAAGACTCAGCTGGACCCTCGGGGCGCAGACGCCTCAGGGCCGGGTGGATGGCAGACCCTGGGGGTGAGGGGCAGCAGATGTGGGGTCCCCCAGAGCCCAGAGGAGGTGGCCCTGCAGAGGCAGAGAGGCCAGGCCTCTGAGCTGCTGCCGTGTAGCCTCCTTTCCCCCAGCCCCGTTGGCACTAACGACTGTCCTTTGTCCCCTCTCCCTCTCCCCCTGTGCCCTCTGCGCCCTTGCCTCCGGCTGCTCCGCTCAGAGGCCCAGGAGGAAGGTGAGTAGGCGGGTGCGGGCTTCACGGCGCCCCCCCCCCCCCCGGAGGGCTGCAGCGTGCTCCCGCCTGACCCTCTCCTCTCTCCTCTGCCCGCCCCCTCAGCCGCAGAAGTCCAGGAGGAAGGTATGGCACACAGGACTTCTGGTCCCCATGGGGGGCCCAGGCCTGGCTGGAGCCCACGTAAGAGTGGGGGGCCAAGGCCCAGACACACCAGCCAGCCAAGGGGCCCCCCATGTGGCCCCCACATAACACACTAACCACTCCCCACGCTTGACCAGATTGGGGAGACCCTGAGGACTGGGCACGCCCCTGGGTGGGTTACGGGGGGGGGGGGGGAGGCGCTGCTGGACCAGATGGACCAGATGTGAGACGAGGCCTGGCCGGTGGGTGACGGAGAGGCTATGTGACCTCTGACCCCTCATCTGGATCAGAGCCCCCAACCAGCTCTGGGTGAGCAGAGGGCCCATGCATGGGCCCCTGGCCGCTCGCACCCTGCCCAGGAGGCCCTTCCGTCCCGGCTCCTGGTGCCACCGCATGGCAGCCCAGAGCGTGGCCTCTGGGCCCGGCATGGCCGTCCTCCCAGGGGTGTGAGGACTGGCCAGAGCCTCAGCGCCATCCCCAAGGCCCAAGCATGGAAGTCAGAACATGCAGGACCCGAAGCCTCCCATGGAGTCTGGGTTTCCCCGTGTGCGAGGCAGGGGTAGGATTGGGGAGCCCGCACCCGGGTCAGCACTGACCGTGTCCCGCTCGCCTCCTGCATGCTCCCCCTCGGCCGCGGCCACTGACCCTCTCTCTCGTGTGGTGATCGGCTGTGTCCATTAACCTCGGATCCTCCCTCCTCTGACCTCTGACCTCTGACCCGCGGTCTTGCCTCTTGTTCCGCGCCCTCCTTAGCCCCTGAAGCTCATGAACCAGGTATGTGCCGTGACTTCAGTCCCGTGTGGGTGCGTGTGCACACGTGGCCGTGTGTGGGTGGAGCAGGAGCCTGGCTCCAAAGGAACAAGAGGCCGCGTAACCTACTCACAGCGTGGTTCTGACCCGGTCCCTGCGTCCCTGCCCCCCTGCCGCTGCCCCCAGTCACCGCCATTCCCTCCCCTCTCTCCCCACATGTGCCGTGTCCGTCCATCCGTCCGTCCGCCCGCAGAGGAGGTCCAGGAAGGTAAGCTGTCCCCGTCCCAGGCCGAGCCGCTCCCCTCTGTCTGCTGGCTCCTACGCATCCTGAGCCGCTCCTGAGCTGGGGGATCAGGCGGGACAGCCGGCTAAGGGCACCCCAGGCCGGACCCCACCACTCCCGGCCTGCTGGCTGCGGCCGAGGGCAGAGGAGGAGCTGGGGTCGGAGCGGGTTTCTCAGCCGGGCAGCCAAGCCAGCTGCAGACCCGGGCAGTGGCAGGCCAGCCGGGACCTCCCCGGGCCCTGGGTGCCGAGGGTCCAAGGAAGCAGCTACTACATGAGGGCAGCCGGGTCGGCCCGGCAGCTCCGGTCTGCATGCCCCGCAGCAAAGAGAAGAGAGAAGCCCCTCCGGTCAGGGGCAGCTCCCGGGGGAGGCAGCCCCCACCCTGGGCACATAGTGGATGCTCCAGCCTGGTGGGCTTCTCCCGAGCACCAACAGGCCTCACTAACCTGATGGCTCTGAACCCACCAGGTTTCAAAACCCAGCAGCCGGGCCCCAGAACCGCCCAAGAACCAAAGGCACCGTGTGGGGAGGTGTTCAGTGTCCCACCCAAGGTGGCCTCTCACCTCAGGCCCCAGTGCAGGGGGGGTGTCTCCCAGGCCTCCCGGCCCCCAGCATGCCCCCCCCACAGCCGCCTCTGGCTAATGGGGCCCAGGCACTGCCCCGGCCTGCCTCCCCGTCCCTGCCCGTCCGCGCTCCCCAGCGCTCGCAGCACGCCGGCTTCTCTCTTGCATGTGCGCTTTGCCCGAAGACGCCGCGGAGGAGGCGCGGGAGGACGAGGAAGGTAAGGGCCTCGGGGCTGTGATGGCGCCGAACAGGGCAGGACGCGCTTGCCGCTGCCCGCCCGCGCTCCGTCCAGCCGCGCTCCGTCCCTGTCCCTCCAAGCACAGGCCAGGCTGCTCGGCACGGCCTTCATCCCAGGCCGGGCTGGGCCTCCCGGGCGCTGCCCTCCGAGCGTCTGCAGGCACAGGGGGGCAGGAGGGGTCGTGGGGACCGGCCAGCAGGCAGGAGCCTGGGCAAGGGGTGCTCGTTCCTCATCCCTCTTTCTCTGTCAGACCCCCTCGTCCTCATCCAGCTCCCCGTCCCCTCCTGCCCCTCTCGTCTTCCCTCCCCCCCATTCCCTCTGCCCCCCAAGTGCCCCTTGCTTCTGCTTCCTCCTCCCTGTCACCCCTTCTCCCTCTTTGTGTCCTGGTCCCCCTGACCTCTCCTCCTCAGAGCCCACAGGGACGTCCTCAGACCGGAGTGGGGGCGAGCCCTGTTCTCTGGGGGGCTGGTAGCGTGGGAGTGGGCTCAACTGCAGAGCAGCATCCAGGGGGGGGGCCTGCAGGCAGTTGGGGACCCCAGTCTCACGTGGTCTCTCTCTCCTCTCCACTCTCCCCTGCTGCTGGTGCGGTGGTGACCAGAGGAGAAGCCAAGACCCAAGTGAGTGTGGGACCCAGGCCAGGCTGGAGCTGAAGTGGGGGGGTCACAGGCTGGGGTGTGAGGCTGGAGCCGGGGTTGGTGGTCGTGGGCTGGGGTGTGAGGCTGCAGCTGGGGTGGGGGTTATAGGCTGGGGTGTGAGACTGAAGCTGAAGTGGGGGGGTCACAGGCTGGGGTGTGAGGCTGCAGCCAGGGTGGGGGGACACAGGCTGGGGTGTGAGGCTGGAGCCGGAGTGGGGGCAGCTGAGTGTGCAGGCTGGTTGGGGAGCAGGTCACCCAGGAAACCGGCACCCCCAGGGCTGGGGTCTGGGTGCCCCTGGAGGAAGACGCTGCTTTGGCTCTGTGGAGGAAGCATTGACCCCTGAACCCCAAGAGAAAGTGGCCTCTCTGTTGCTCCTGGACCTGGGGTGGAACCTTCTAGCTGCCCCGCGTCTCAGGCATTCGGAGAAGGGGGTGATTTGGGGCAGCCGGTGTCTCCTCCACAGCCAGGACCAGACTCTACCTGGGCCCTGGGTGCTCTGTCCCCATGGACAGACAGACTCGAGCCCCCTGGGGTCGGCTCTGCCCTGCACACTCAGTGCAGGCCAGGAGGGCTTACTGCAGGGGGGCCCAGCCCGAGGAAGGAAGGGGGACCCAGAATCGGGGAGAAACAGCCTCGAGAGGGGGGCCCATGGCCCTCCACGTCCCCCCCTGGGCCTCCCTCACAACCCCCCTGTGTGCTGGGCCTTACACGGCCTGAGACAGGATAGAGGCACCAAAGCAGAGTGCAGGGTCTCATCCCTGAACCCCCATGGAAGCCACGGGGGGCCGGGACCCAGGCTCTGTGACCTCCCGCTGCCCCCGGGCCTCCGAGCCCCCGCGCTTGGAGCCGGGGCCTCAGCTGGGAGGGTCCTTCCCGCCTTTATCGCATTTGTGAGATTTCAGGGATGTTTTTTTAATCCGGTGTTCTGACTTCTCCGCCGATAAGCACGTCAGCCGCAGCCCTCGGGACGTGCCTGCACGCCCGAGCCTGTGTGCTCTGCAGGCTGGAATGTGGGGCCCCGCACACGCCCGCCCGCGAGGGGCCGCAGGGGCGCCGGGCGCCGCCGCGCCAGCACTCTCCCGTCCTCGCCACGTTATTTGTCAGCGGTTCTGAGCCACGCTGCCGGATCACAAGATATTTTCTAGTTTCAAAAAAATGTTTGTGTTTTCATTATGAAAATAAAACACCTCATTAAAGGAAATTTGGAAAATACATAAAAGCCCACTGAAGAAGGAGGAGGGTGGGGGGAAGCCATCTATAACTCCCACCCAGCCAGCCAGACTGCGGGCAAGGGGAGGAAAATAAAAAAGGCTTATTTCTCCCTCGCCTTTCCATGCATCGGGCTTCGGAAAAAAAGATTTAAACCCAGGGCTGTTTTTCAAAACCCCAGGCCCTGTCTATAGAAAACCCTGAGCCCTGCCTTTTTTCCCCTAAAAAATGTAGCACCATTCATAAGTATTTTTCCATGTTTTTACACCGTCTCCTTAAATATTTTCAATGGCCACATAATATTCCGTCCATCGGACAAACCATAATTTCCTAACCGTCCCCCGGCGGCCGTGCCGCTGCGCCGTGTTTCACCGTCATAAATAACGCAGGCGGAAAGTGCTTTCTGTCTCTCCTGGCTATTTCCCTAGGCCCCGTTCCCAGAACTGGAATTAATGGGTCAAAGAGTAGGAGCGCTCTTAAGGCTTTTGACGTCCCCGCCAAACAGCTTTCCGCGCGGGGCCTGCCAGCGCGGTCTCCGGTGGGCGGCGTGGACGTGAGGGGGCCTGCGCCCCTCGCCGCCGCGCCCCGGGGACCGCTGATGGATGAGAGGGGCCTCTCAGGGCTGTTTTCCCAGCATTCCTCTGATTGCAGCAGGCACAGCGCCCCCCTGTTCGCTACACTGGACCCTCTTTCTTCCCGGGAGGGCCGTGGCTTATGGCCTCTGCCCATTTATCTCGGGCAGGCAGCCGCTCTGTTTTCTTAATCATCCGTTTGCATAAGGATATAAGTCTTCTCTGTGTTTGCCGAAAATATTTTTCTAGCCTGGGTTGGGTTTTCTCTCCCCCCGTCTCTCCCATGGTTGCCTTTCTTCACATAACATAAGTTTCTCATTTGCGTGGAGTCATCTGGCTACCTTTCCCCCTCAGCGGGACCTTCTGAGCTCAGAAAACCCTCTCCCGGTCCAGCAGTTTGATCGATATTCAGTTCCTCTTTCTTCAACGGCTTGTTTTAAAAAATTGCTGTTGTCGTTTTAACTCTTTGCTCCATCTGGAATGCATTGGGGCCGGGGGAGGGGAGGCGGAGGGCCTCTGGGTTGCGGGGCAGGCAGGCGGAGGGGCGGGGGGCGGTGGGGGCTCGCTGCTGCTTCAAACTGCTCTCTGCCCAGCCCCCCTTCCTCCTCCGGGCCCCCCAGAAAGAAAGATGAAAGTGGGGACACAGAAAGGCAGAGGGCCGAGAGGGCCGTCCCTGGGCACGGAGACACACGACCCCCACGGCGCCTGCAGTGACCACCCTGCCGCTGGCCTGACCTCCCAGCGTTTGTTTGTTTGTGAGGAGGAAACCGAGGGTGTCCCCCCGGATGGACGGGGCTGGACAAGCCCTCGAGATGGACAGGACTGGGCCACCCAGAAGGACATAGAGATTGACGCCTTCTCCAGGGGGCCCGAGCCGGCCCGGGGCACGGGGGTTATCCACCCGTTAAGATGAAGGTCAGGGCCCGGCCGGCCAGCGAGGCTGTTGTTGAGGGCCATCCCGTAGACCAGAAGGTCACTGTTTGGATTCCCCGTCAGGGCGCGGGCCCGGGTTGTTGCAGGCCTGACCCGCAGTGGAGGACGTGCAGGAGGCAGCGATCGATGTTTCTCTCTCCTCAATGTCTCTAGCTCTCTCCCTCTTTCTTCCCCTCTCTCTAAAATCAATAAAAACGTATTTTAAAAACTTAAAAAAATAAAAAAATAAAAAAAAAAGACAGAGGTCATGCCATGTGCCCTCAGCCAGGGGCCAGGATGAGAGGGAGGGAGGCCAGCCTGGGCCAGGCCGGCTCTCCTGGGGGGTCCCCGCCTGTCCCTGCTCACGAGCCTCTCTCCTTTCCAGACTCACTGCTCCTAAGATCCCGGAAGGGGAGAAAGTGGACTTCGATGTAAGTCTGTGGGACCTGGATCAACGCGCCTCCGTCCCCAACCCCAGGCCGCAGGCCTGACAAGGTCACCTCTCAGTCACACCGAGCCAGGGCTTCCTGACCCCAGGCAGTCCTGCTTTCATTCATGCCTGGACAAGAGGGAGCCTCTCCCTTCATGACATCTCTCTTCCCTTCTCTCCATCTGTCCTGCCCATCACCCATCCACTCAGCTAGTCACCAACCATGTTCTCACCTACCCATCCTTCCACCGCCCATCCATCCACCACCCATTTACCCATCTATCCACCACCCTTCCACCCATCTATCCACCATCCAACCACCACCATCCATCCACCATCCAATCACCTGTCTATCCACCATCTATCCACCCATTGACCCATCCATCCACCATCCACCATCCACCATTCATCCACTCATCCATCTACCATCCACCATTCATCCACCATCCATATGTCCCTCCAACAAATTATCTTGTTCACCAGTTTCCTCTCTGCCTGGCTCGTACAGGACATGTCAGGATGGTGACAGGGCTTTGTCAGAGCTAGTCCATCCCAGGGTTTCTGATGATGTCACCGCTGTGCAGACTCGGGCTCATCTTCGGGTGGTGGTGGTGGGGTTTCCTGTACCTCCCTGTGACTTGGGGCTCCCTCGTCGCATTCAGCTTTTGGGATCCTTCGTCGCTGGAGGGGTCGGGGCTGCTCTGCTGGAGCCCAGGGGGGCCGGGCGGGATGGGGGGGCAGGGAGGGCGGGGCTGACGGCCGCGTCGCCCACAGGACATCCAGAAGAAGCGGCAGAACAAGGACCTCATGGAGCTGCAGGCCCTCATCGACAGCCACTTCGAGGCGCGCAAGAAGGAGGAGGAAGAGCTGATCGCGCTCAAGGAGAGAATCGTGCGTGGGCAGCGTGGGCAGCCCGGGGAAGGTGGGCAGCGGTCACTGGCCGAGGGGCCCGGTCGGCAGGCCGGGCAGGGCTGATCACCCCTCCGGCCGCAGGAGAAGCGCCGTGCGGAGCGGGCTGAGCAGCAGAGGATTCGCGCCGAGAAGGAGCGGGAGCGCCAGAACAGGCTGGCGGTGAGGCCTGGGCCCTTCCTGCCCCCCCCCCCCCCACGGGCCACGGGCCACGGGCTCGCCAGGGCCCCTGCTCTTCCTGCTGCTGAGGGTCCCCAGCCTCAGGGACCAGTGCCCTGCAGAGCCCTTGGGAGAGGGTGGACCCGGGCCAGGACCGGAGCCTCTGAAGTCGTGGGACGGGGTCTCCACAGGAGGAGAAGGCCCGCCGGGAGGAGGAGGACGCCAAGAGGAGGGCCGAGGACGACATGAAGAAGAAGAAGGCCCTGTCCTCCATGGGCGCCAACTACAGCAGCTACCTGGCCAAGGTGAGCGCGCGCACCTCCGGCCTCCGGACGCGGGCTGAGCCGAGCGGCGGCCCCTCCTGAGTCCGGCCCCTCGGCCGTGTCCCCCAGGCCGACCAGAAGAGGGGCAAGAAACAGACCGCCCGGGAGATGAAGAAGAAGGTGCTGGCTGAGAGACGCAAGCCGCTCAACATCGACCACCTCAGCGAGGACAAGCTGAGGTGAGGGGCTGTGCCCGGGGCCGGGGGAGCAGGGCGGAGCCCGCTCTGAACCCACCGCCTGGAGTCCCTCGAGGTCGCTGGGGCCAGCCTCGGGGAGGCCGGAGGGGGACCGAGGGTGGCCGGTGCCCTGCCGTCCGGGGCTCAGCCGGCCCAGCCCGACGCTGCCGCCTCCAGGGACAAGGCCAAGGAGCTGTGGGACACGCTGTACCAGCTGGAGACCGACAAGTACGACTTTGCCGAGAAGCTGAAGCGCCAGAAATACGACGTGAGTGCAGCCACCGGGGCCACCCCGGTCTTGTCCTCCAGCCGAGCCCACGTCCCCCCGCCTGGCCCCCGCGGACCCTGCTCCTCCGGCCACCCTGAGCCTGAGCTGCTCCGAGGGTGGCCCCAGGGAGCGGCGGGCAGAGGCCGCAGACCCGGTGTCTGAGCCCTCGGGGCTCTCGCGGGTCCCGTGCCAGGCGCCCAGCCCAGGGTGGCACGGGGTGCCCAGGCTCCGGGGTGCCCTTCACGCAGGCCTTCTCTGCAAACCAAGTCCCAGACTCCACTTCCTCAGAGCCCCTGGGTCCCCTCCTCAGCTCAGAGTGGACAGGGTGCTGTGCACCCCACCCTGCTGTCCGGGCCAGGGCAGGGGCCGGGGCTGCGATGGTGCCCCTGTAGAGGGCGGCCCCGTGGAGTCTCCTGAGAGGGGCTCACCAACCCTGTGCCGACCCCGGCCCTGGCCCGAGTCGGCGTGCCCCTGGGAACGGCGCCGGTGCCGCTGACGAGCCGGCCGCTCGCAGACCCAACCACATCCAGCCTCACGGCCAGGCCTGGTGCCCTCCCCGCGCTCTCCCCGGGCCCCTGGGGAGGCCAGTCCAGGCTGCCACCTCCACCAGCCACTGCCTACAGGGTGTTGGGGGCCAGAACCCACCACTGGGCGAATCGTGCCTCCTTCTCCGGAGCCCTGTGCCCTGGGCAAGTCCCTGGTCCTTCTGCGCCCCGGTTTCCTCGCCTCCAACAGCAGGAGGCTCACCCCACCCTTCCTGCACCCCCAGCCCCTGCCCCACGGCACACACTCCTGCATCCCCTCTCCACGCTCCCCACTGGGCTGCCTGCGGGAACGGGCTTCACGCCCCCAGAGCCAGCCGGGCCCTCCCTCCTGAGGTGCTGGCACGGCCCTCGAGGGTCCCAGGGCAGGAAGAGGCACGAGGGTCCTGGCCTGGTCCAGCCCAGTGCCTGGCGGGGCCTAGGCCTCAACCGCCCACCAGCCCGTAACCGTCTTGGTCTTTCCAGATCATGACTGCCCGGGCCAGAGTGGAGATGCTGGCCAAGTTGTAAGTAGCCGGGCCCCCCGGGCCCAGGCTCGTGGTATGTGGTGCACGGTGAGCCTCTCGCATGGCAAACCCTGGGTCAGAGAGGATGGCGGCGGCAGCGGGCATGGAGGTGACGGAGGCCTCCCCGCTCCTGCCTCTGCGGCCTGCCTCCCGGCGAGCCTGCCCTCCTTGTGGGCAGACGGGGACGGGCCGTGCCCTCCCCCAGGGCGGTCAGAGGAGGGGCCCCCGGGCCGAGGAGCCACCAGAGGCAGGGGCTCCGTCGGCGAGCCTCCCTCCCGCCATGCCGTGCCCGCATCCTGCGAGGCAGGAAGGTAAGTGCCAGCTCCGAGCTGCTGTGTGGCGCGGCCCGGGTGTCAGTGCACCAGCGGCAGTGAGTCAGAGCCCAGGGCCATGGCACGGCCGGCGTCCTCCAGCCGCAGGCACAGTAAGGGAGCACCTGTGCGGCCCGTGCGGGCACCGAGGCCGAGGCCAAGGCCTGCCGTGCGGGCAGCGTGTGGCCGTGCCCGCGTGGCCCTGTCCGGACTCGCCACGGTAAGTCGTCCGTGTTGTTCACAGATCACCAACCTCAGGAGCCGCATCGACCAGGCCCAGAAGCAGTGAGTAGCCTGCCCCACGCCTTGCTCTGCGCAGGCACACGGCCCAGGGGCCCGGCGCGTCCAGCCAGTCCCGGGGCCGCCGGCCTCCGGCAGAGCAGGGACAGGACTAACTGGCCGCTCACACTAACATGGGGGCTCACACCCTGAACCCCAGCCCCCTGTGCACACTGCCCAGCCCGGGAGGACAGCACACGGGGGAGGCCAGCAGCGGGCACATGTGTCCCTTCCTGGCGACCTGGGGCAGGAAGGAGGAGGCCTGGGCCTTGTCACCAGGTGCTCTGTGACCCGGTTCCTCAGGACAGTGAGCCTCTGTCTGTACGATTGGCCCACCCGGCCCACAGGCCCTGTGGCCACGCTGCCGGGAAGCCCCAGAGAGCCAGGCCCACCCTGCAGTGCAGCCGCTGCTCTGGGCTCTGGGTCCTGAGTGGTCACCCTCCGGAGAGAGCAGGCGGAGTGGAGCCTGAGGGTTTAAGGGGTTTTCTGCCTCCTGGCTGCTCCCGGATCAGGCCTCCTCCCCCCACCCCTCACCCCGGCTCTGTCGTGTGGGGCTGGGGCTGACGCAGGCCCCCAAGAGAGGGCTGCTGAGCAGGGTGTGCGTGTGCGCATGTGCATGTGTGTGCGTGTGCGTGTGCGTGTGCACAGGTGTGTATGCGGGGACCTGCATGTGGGAGCTCCTCGGCTGCTCCCTGCAGGACGGGACGAGGGCGCGGCCTCAGGAACCACACAGAGGTGTCCGATACGGTGCCCCCAGGCCCACACGCCCTGTCCTCGCCCCACCTTGCCCCGGGTGCGCTGGCATGCAGAGTGCCTCAGACAGAGGGGCAGGCCCTGGGGATCCCCCAGCGGTGGGGACCGCCTGACCCTGGGTCTGGCTCTAACTAGGGGCCAAGCAACCGAGACTCTGGAGCAAGGCAGAGGCCTCCCAGGTCCCGAGTCTGGAGCCCAGGCCTGTCCACCCACTGCCCCAGGAGCCACCTGGCTGGTCTTTCCCTCTGCAGGGACCTCCAGGGCGGGCTGGGGTCAGGACATCATGGGAGTCGGGGGGGGGGGGTCCCAGCGCTGTGCCAGCCCCTCTCCTAACACTCTAACTGCCTCTGCACGAAGCCGCCCAGCCCCGGCCCGGCCCGGCCCGGCCCAGGTGAGTCGCTGCTTGGATGGTGCCAGGAATGTGTGCCGGGTGCTTCAGGGGCCGAGCTAGGCCCTCCGCCCTGGCAGCAGCCCGGTGGCAGAGCTGTGAGGACCGGGGGCTGCCGGGCGACCGGGAAGGGGTCGGCCAGGGTCCTGGACACCCTGACGCTCAAGACCAACTTGCTTCCCATTTGCAGCAGCAAGAAGGCCGGGGCCACGGCCAAGGGCAAGGTCGGCGGGCGCTGGAAGTAGAGCAGCCGGAGAGGCCCCCCGAGGCAGAGACCGCCCGCCAGGGCGGCCCCCGTGGTGGCGTCTGGCCCCCAGGCCTGGGGGCGGGGGGCTGGCTCCCGAGCACCCCCCGTGTCCCTGTCCTCGCGGCCCTCCTCCCCTGGGGTCTGTGAATAAAGCTGTCAGACTCCCCTCCACCACGTGTGTGCTGGCTGGCTCTTGGGGGGGATCCGGGGGGTGCGGAGGGGCAGAAGCACAGAGGGCCCTCCCCTCAGGGCTCGGCTGAGGCCACGGGGCTGTGGCCACACTTTGCCAGGGCGTTGGGCTGGGGAGCCCCTGGCTCTGCCAGCAGCTTCCATCCCTGGAACTCTTTGTCTCTGCTCTCGAAAGCCCGCACATGCTCAGTGGGTCTGTGGAGCCCACAGGAAGCTCCTGGCTCCCTGGGTCAGCCCTGAGGCTAATTTGGGGAGCTCTAAATCTGGTTTTGGGGGAATCTGAGTCTGGTTTGAGGACTCTGGGTCTGGTTTGGGGAGCTCTGAGGTGCTTTGGGGGGCTCTGAGGTAGTTTGGGGAGCTCTGAGCTGGTTTAGAGGGATCTGGGTCTGGTTTGAGGGCTCTGAGTCCGGTTTTAAGGCTCTGAGCTGGTTTGGGGAGCTCTGAGTCTGGTTTGGGGAGCTGTGAGTCTGGTTTGGGGAGCTGTGAGTCTGGTTTGAGGGCTCTGAGGCCAGTTCGGGGGCTCTGAGGCAGGTTTAGGCCGCTCTATACCGGTTTGGGGCGGCTGTGTTGGCCGTTGGCGGGGTTGGGGAGGAGGGGCCCGGCACACAGTGGGAGACTTTACAGAAACGCGGGGGCTGAGGGAGCGAGGGGCCGGGCGGGGGGCGCAGCCGGGGGAAAGCAGCGGAAAGGCACGTTTCGGGGCGAGCGGCCGGCAGACAGACGGCTCTTTCTGTGTTATAAGAGAACACAGTGCGCCCTGTGTAATAAATCTGAAAATCCTGACCCAACGGAATTATGGAAAATATAAATCAGAGAAATTGGATCAAGACGCACAGCCCTTAACAGCCAGGTATTCACGGAGAGCTTCCCGCTCAGCACGGCCTCCGGGAAGGCCCCGAGGGGGGCGGGCAAGACCCCACCACCGAGCCCCGGAGGGCACCGCACACGTGTGTGGACCCCGACACACACACTCCCCCTCCCACACCGCCTCCTGTGTGTGGACACTGTAACTCCTGCCCCACAGGCACACGCAGACCCCAGCCCTGGCCCGTGCCCCTTCCCCACCCGCTGGCTGCTTGCTGCAGGGCAGACGTGCTACGTGACCAGCCGCTCAGCCACGGCGTGGCAGACACAGGGACCGTGGTACGTGACAGGCCCCGGCCGTGTCTCCACCAGGCCCTGTGCCCCCTGCTCCTGTGACAAGGCAATTGAGCAGCGCGGGGCTGACAGCAGGCAGACGCGCCCCGGGGCACGGCACACCCAGGAGCAGGCGGCTGGCAGGGGCTCCTCGGGCTCAGGGTGCTGTGAGCTTCCCGAAGACGGCAGGGGGAGCGGACGGCTGGGGGCAGAGGGGTCTGCAAAGCCACCCGGGAGGCCCGGGCCACGGGGCCTGGCGGCCATCACTGGCCGAGGACGGTGCCCGGGAGCGTGTGCCACAGAGACAGGACGGGAGGAAGCTGGAGCTCTCACAGGCCGGCCCCGGGCATGGTACCTGCCTGCACGGAACTGGAGGGCCGCCGGGGGCAGATGTGCGGAGACGCAAAACCGAGGCGGGGCAGTTCCAGGGTCAGACGAAAAGCAGGAAGCGTTTTCAACCGAAGGATCAGAACACGCCAGGCTTCCGCCAGGTGGCTGGAGAGGGCCCCGGTTTTAACAAGTTCAACATCAACTGCAAAGTATCAGACCATGAGCCCAACACCTAACGTGAGAAAGGAACAGCAGCGCTAATCAGTGTGGCTCAGTGGACTGAAGGGTCCCGGCTCCGATTCCGGTCAAGGGCATGTACCTGGGTTGTGGGCACATCCCCAGTGTGTGTGTGTGTGTGTGTGTGTGTGTGTGTGTGTGCACAGGAGGCAGCTGGTCAATGTGTTTCTCTCTCATCGATGTTTCTAACTCTCTCTCCCCCTTCCTCTCTGTGAAAAATCAATAAAATACATTTAAAAAAAACAAATCAATAAAAAGGAACAGCAGGCAAATGATAAGGGAAATGGGGTAACACCAAACAAAAGCCCCAACACTCATGGACGAGACCCACCAAGTTAAAACGGGCTCTGCAGGAGCCAGCGCTGCAGTCACGAACCAGAAGGGACAGCGCGCGTTCGGACACAGGCCCCCCCTCGGGGGGCCCTGCGGGGGTGAGTGAGGAGTCGCAGGCGCCTCACAATGCGTGGTGACAGCCGCCTGGAAAAGGAGATAAGATGGCCGCCTTCCCCGAGAAGCGGCCCCCGGCCTGGCTCCGCGGACTGGGAGCGGCTCCACACACTGATCTCATTTTAAAACCGCTGACCCAGCAGTCAGCCTCTCCCCGCCGCAGAGCGCGGGAGCTTTTTGAAAAATCACATCCTGACGGCTCTGTATAGGCAAGCGGGCCGCGTGGCCGTCCGTCCGTGGAAGACCCGGAGGCCAGGGGCTGGGGCGGGTGCCGGGGTGCCAGGGGGCTGGGGGAAGGGGGTCAGGTAACGGGACAAAGCAGAACACAGCCAAGAACATGCCCAGCCCAGCTCCCCGAGCCTGCGGGCCCCTCACGGGGGTCACGCTCACAGGGGTCAGGCAGGACGGTCCGCTCCCCGGTTCCCGCTTCACGGTCACGTCAGGGAGGGACCTCTAACCCCCCGCCTGGGTCCTCGGGACGCTCCAACCATCGCAGGCACGCGACTGGCCGGATCTGCAGAAGAGGCACAGACCGGTGCCTTCAGGGCCCGCGGACAGGCAGGCACCGCTGAGCAACGCCCGTCATGGCAGAGGGCACCCCCTGACCCGCCACAGGCCCCTGAACATGAAGGGGTGTGTGGGGGGCAGTTCTGGGACAGGATGTGGGGTCCCCAGGTGTGTGTCCAGCCCTCCCTGAGCTCAGTGGCTGTGCCTTCAGGCAGCAGGCTGCCCCGACCCTGGATGGGGGCTCTTTCTGGCCCCCGAGGGGACACCCCCCCCCCCCCCCGATCCGAGGCCAGGTTTCCCTCCCAGACATCAGTGCCGGCTCACCAAGGCCAATAACACTAGAGTCTCAGAGTCCTTTTTTGTTAATGTTTTTTAAAAAATACATTTTTATTGATGTCAGAGAGGAAGGGAGAGGGAGGGAGAAACAACTATGACAAGAGAGAATCATGGATCGGCTGCCTCCTGCATGCCCCACACTGGGGATCCAGGCCACAACCTGGGCCTGTGCCCTGGCCGGGAATCGAACCCCGGCCTCTTGGTTCCTAGGTCGATGCTCAAGCCCTGAGCCAGGCCGGCTGGCCGGGCGAGATTCTCCAGGAGCCGCTGCTTCTTCAGATTTATCCACTTCAGACAGGAGTGTCCCCCACGAGGCACGTTTCTGAACGGCCAACTCCACTCGTCCTCACCGTGTCCCGGCCGGAACTGTGGAACAAGAAAACACACACAAAACGTAACACAAAAGCCACCCGTGGCAGGAAAACACTTCTCTGCGACCTGAGCTGCTGGGCCCAGGGGCATGGGGGCATCCATAGACTGGGGGGGAGGGGTGCTGGCTGGGGGGCCGGGCTCCTGGAACAGAGATGGTGGAGGATACGAAAGTGAACCCTGGCTGTTTGAAGACCAACATGCCATCTCTCAGCCTGACAGCGAGCTATGTGCTGGATGTGAGGAGCACACGTCTCAGACAATGGGCCCCTCTGGCGGCTGGGGAGTGGGGGGCACCCACTGTGATCTTAGACCCAGGGCAGGGGGCTGGGAGCTGGGAGCAGGGGGCTGGGGGCTGGGGATGAGGCTGGGGCTGGGGCTGGAGGCTGAGGCTGGGGCTGCTGTGTCTCTTGTTATTTTTATCCTCCCTCCTGGAGCCACTCGGCGTTCATGGCGGTAAACCATGGGAAAGGGCCTCTGCTGAGGGTCGACCCTGCTCTCTGAGCACAAAACCTGCAGAACCGACGGCAGGCGGCAGCCAGGCGCTTCCGCTACCTGCCCGTGTGGCCGACGGGCCGGCGCGCTCGGGCCGAGACAGGAACCCGGCAAGGACGCCTGCTTTTGCCATCAGGGCCCCCTGCCGGGGCTGGAAACCAGAGACAATGCGGGCGACGTGGAGCGGAAACCGGGCGAATGGGCCTGGGAGGAGGGGGCCGCGGCCCTCGAGCCGGCGGAAGGGCCTACAGAATGACGAGGGGCCCCAGGAAGGCCGCCAGACCGGGCACATATTTCACGTCCCTATCGCACGGCCTCCCCGCCAGGCGCGGGAGATAAAGTGGGTGACACACTCTCCATTCCCAAACAAAGGCGAGGGCCGGGTGCAGGAAGAGGGGAGCGGCCCCCGGAGGCCGCCTGGAGGAGGGACAGGACGCGCTAATGAGAAATGGATAAACAGCCGGGGGGCGCGGAGGGGACGCACACATCCTGCCCCGGCAGGAAGTTTACAAGAATCGCTCTTCCCAAGTCCACGTATGGAGCTGCCGGGTCCCTGCACAGACCCTGATGGGATGTATCTGGGGCCACGCGGGGGAGGCGGGGGGGGGAGGGGGGGTCTGACGGATGAGTGTCAAAGGCCTGGGAAGGGAGAGCGGACAGGAAGCGGGGAGCGCGGGCTCCGTGTGAGGGAGGAAGAGGGCACACAAAGGCCGAGCATCTGTGCCTTGGCCCGAGGTGCTGATGGCCTCATGTTTGCACTTTCCAGGGGGCCAACGGGTTGCAGAGTGGGTGCCACAGGGACACGCAGCCAACAGGGCGCAGAGTGGGGGACACAGGGACATGGGAACACGCAGAAAACAGGGGTGCAGAGTGGGTGATACTGGGCCACACAGCCAACAGGGCGCAGAGTGGGGGACACAGGGACACGTAGCCAACGGGGGCACAGAGTGG